AAGTTAAGAGCGTCGCCAGAGAGTCATTCGCTTTCCAACGTCGCTTCGAATCGGTCGCTATTTCTTCTTCCCATTTCACAAACTTTTCGATTTGAATACAAATATTGTTGAAGGAGGAAGTGAGACGGGCATTGTTTATAAGCTGAATCAGAATCTCAATCTTTATCTAGCAGAATTCCAGGCCTGCGTGCCTTTTGTGTGTGTGTTTTCCTAGACATAGTGAAAAAGTGTCGCCTCAAGTTACCGTATGCATGTCATGATCTTGGCTTACAGCCGGCACCTTGATGACGCATTTCTTAGCCAGCACAGATCCAACACATAAACACCAGCAGCAGCAGCAGCAGCAACTACAACAACAACTGCTGCTTACCTGTATTTATATCTGTATCTGCTTGAGTATCTGTGTTTCTGTGTGAGCAAAAGATGCTCGTGAAAACGCTTGGCGCGCATTTTTTAGCAACTAAATGCAGCTGCTGCTCCGCTCTGCTGATTCCCCTGCTCCCGCTCCTGTTGCTGCTCCTCGGTCATCCATTACGTGTAGGCGGTCATGTCAGTAGCAGTGCGGGATCTCCTGGACCTGGAGCCGATCCCCACCTGGTGCTGGTCAACAAATGTTGCGAGAAGTTCGAGATACACGTGGACAGCGAGTGCCAGTACGTCAACGAGACGGGTGAGTGCCCAACAGCTGGTCTCTGACCCATGCCCACTCCTTCTTTGCCATAACAACGACAATGCCGACAGCGGAGTTTGTTGGCCATTCAACTTTATGGATTTTCCCTGCTGGCATGCAACATACATACATAGAAGTGTGTATGTTGTAACATTAAGTGGCCCATTTGTTGGCTATCAGTGGATCAGTGGAACGCAGCCAGAAGCTCCCCCAACAAGTTCCTAAAACAAACATGAGACTGTGGTGCCCCCAATCCTGATGAGAAAAAATATGATTTATGCTGTGGGGCTTGCCTCGGCTTCTGTTTTAAGTAACCACTCAAGGGGGGATTCCCCTAATCGAGAGAATCATCTAGTGGCAATGGAATGAGCCGGAAAATCCATTAGCATGATGCTATTTAGATGCTACTGTTATCATGGAGCTTGATATAGTAAGAGTTTGCCCGTAAAAATAATCCTAAGGGTAAACTTTAGTAATATAAAGAAGTTTTACTATTTTCCAATAGGTCAGGAATGTATCAAAATTATATGATCCAGACAGAATAAATGAATAAAAGAGTAAACTGAAACCAAACAAAAGGCTATACAGCAATTAAAACAGAAACAAATGCAATGTCAACATTAAAAACCTTGAAACTGCCATTAAAGTGACACATAAAATTGCTACAATAGAAATTCATAGATGAATCATTGCCCTGAACATCAGATTGCCATCGAACTGATCTCATCAAATTTGTAACTGAAAGGATTACTCAAATCCGTAATCAACACTTGAAATCTAATTTCCCTGCTCTCAGCTATGATTAGCATTTCAAAGGCACGAGTGGAACAAAAGTGCATCCCATCTGCAGCAATTCGAGGAGAACAAATCTGCATAAATTGCAAAAAACCGGGCTAGAAACAGCTGATGAAGATGCATTGCATTGCTGTGCTCACGTTCTTCGCCACAGAGCGTATAAATATTTATACAGGAGAACGGGGAGGCCCGAGTCTCTTCTGGTCCCCTCCAAACCAAAAACGGAAATCAAAAAAAGGCGGCAAGAACTTGAAGTGTCTTAATGATTCTCTACGCTCTGCTCCGTTTTGTTCTGTATATAATATATATACTATATGTATGTATATATAATGGCTTTTCATTTGCAGACTATTTCCAGCCCATGTTCACCAGCTATGGAGGAGATCAGAACAGGCCCGTCAGCTTCAAGTTCGTCATCGGCATTCCCAACTGTGGATCAATGCAGATGTGGCCCATATACCATTACAAGGGGGTAAGTGATAGTATATCAACAACTGCAAAAACAGATTCACATACTTTTGAATCACCTAGAGCTCCGATAAGCTGGTTCTACTGGACGATGGCAAGCTGAGGCATTATACCAATGCCGAAGATGAGGCTGAGGAGCGTCATGGTATACAATCGGACTACGAGGAGGACATTGCTGGTGCTCTGGAGCCGCGTTATCACGACTATGATCATGGCTTGTACTGCATCGATAAGGTAGGCATTGTATGGGTCTCAATATTATTATTTTAATAATCATAAATCTTATCTTTAGGCCACCTCCAGCACTGGCGAGCAGCACGTACTCTTCGCCAAGATCTGCTTGGCGCGCAAGGAGATCAAGTGGAGCGATTCAAATTTTCTGCTGCGCAAGATCCTCAATCCCATCTTTCATGGCATCTCACTCATCATCTTGCTGGTCATTGCCATAATCTACTTTATACTCCCGACGCTCAGGTGAGAAATTGTGTTAGAATCAGACTCCCCTCATGCGTTAATTCGACGTCCATTCAGCAGAGATTTGGTGGGCAACATTGTGACGACCATAGCCATGTGCCTGATGGTCAGCCAGGCGGCGGATCTAGTCCGTATTTTCACCGAGCTAACCAGCCACGTTAGCTTCATAGTGGCGGACATAATCCTGTGCTTCAGCCTGCTGGCGGCCTTTTTCTGGCTCAACAGCTTTGGCTACTACATCTGGAAGACCTTCCGCTCAAGAAATGTCTTCCTTAGGGTCACAGACGGCAGGAAGTACTGCTACTACTCGGCCTACGCCTGGGGATGCACGGCAACGATGGCAGGCCTGGCAGTATTTGCACATTTTTTCCTGGACGCCGACTCGTACAAAAAGGAGCAGATGGTTGGCGAGCAGGAGACGATCGGCTGGCTGGGCATCTGCATATTCTTTGCCCCCATTGCATGCACTATTTTGGTGAACTTATTCTTCTTTATGACTACCAGGAATCTGATAAACAGACGGACTGTATACGGTCGCATTGCCCACAAGCTGAAAGCCAAGTGAGTAGCTCTGCATTTAAATTCCTTTTTACTATCCTAATACCCCTTTTTAAATTGCAGCTTTATCATGTTCTCCCTAATGTTTTTGGTCATGTCGGTGGCCTGGCTATTTCTAATCATGTCCTGGCTGCAGCTGGAGGGTCTTTTATATGCCCACATCGTGGTCAATGCCCTGCAAACCCCCTTGCTGCTATACATCTGCGTGCTGCGCCAGCGACACGTTACCTTCCTGCTGAAGAAGTCCTGCTGCTACAATGAGCCCCCTTCGACGAACGACTGGGGCGACGAGATGCACTACATGAACGGCAATGACTACTGAGGCAAGCCGCCGCCAACGTCCACCGTCCACGCTACTCTAAGTGTTTTTGTAGTTTAGCAATGTCCAACATTGAGATTTGTACTTAAATTTAACTAATTTATGCCGTACGAGATAGTAATTAAAACATTAAAAGTCTGACACTTACCTGGCCGAACAGTTTTCCTTCTTCGCGGCGAACCAGCGGTGACAGCATAGCCCGCACAATGAGGTGACAGTCGTCCAGAACGGTGTTGAAGAAGCGGCGTGTCGGAAGAAGGGCCTCCAGATCGATGATGAACTCTAGGAAGCGTTCGCAGTAGTGGACAACGTTAGGATTTATATCGCCCTCGGCAGGAATGCCCTCGACGATTTGCAGAAAGTCGATGATGAGGTTCTGCATAAAGTGTCGCTCCCACTGGACCTCAGGCTTAGTGTCCTTGTCCTTCTTGAGCAGACGCTTCCAATACTTTCGCCACTCGGGAACCTCCCGAAGTTCCTGCTCGCGGCGTTCTAAGGAGTAAAGAAGGGTTAGCAATCAAGGATTATCCTCCGGTTCTTGAAAAATACTTACTTGGCTGCAGGCAGTGCCACATTGACAACGAGACCAGACGCTTGGCCTGTTCCCGGCACAGTTCGATCTCCATGCTGTTGAAGCAGTGATTGAGGAACATGAGCAGCGCGGTTCGCTCTCGCAGGGTGCTGCTTGCCTCTCGGCTCGCTTTGCTGGGCAAGCAACTCTCCAGCACGTGGCGGAAGAACGCCGGATACTGATCGGGTAGATTTTCAAACACAGTCCATACTTCAACGCGCTCTCGGAACTTCTCGTTGGCCATGATCACAATGGACATGAGGTGGGCATGGGTGGCAGTATCTCGCTGGTAGTGCGGCCACAGGTACTGCTCCAGGTACTGGCTAAACTCCAGCATGTTGATTCGCCGCGAGCTCTGACTGCCACCGCCACCGCCCCCGATTTCCTCTTTGTAGATGCGTTCGATAATCTCTGCACTGTATGGCTGGTGATCCGCCTTTGTGTCCGGTGCCCAGTACTGCGATGCGAGCTGCCGAAAAGAATTAAATGTTTATAATCCTCACTAACAAGAGTTGTCCAGCGGAGCACCCACCTGCCAAATGGCATCGGAGCTGAGTTGGGCCACTGTGAGGGCTCCAGCCTTGGCTTTCGGCTGTTTGCTGATCTCCTTGGCCTTCTGGGCCTGCGTTTGACTTCTGCGCTTCATGTTTGTTCTTTTAAATTGCAAATAAACGAAAATAAACACAGAAACTGCAACAAAACAAAACGCCGGTCGCAAAATAGTGTGCTGTTTCGCGTGATGCGAAAAACACCAGAAGGAAGGCACAATATACTAAATAATTAATAGTGTACTGTAAAAATACCAGATTTTATATAAATTTTAAAATTAAATTTCAATTCATTTTAAAAATGATTAATTTCAAATTGATTTTAATTTGATGTAATACAAAATAAATGTAATGAAGCAATTCTTAAAAAGTATACGAAAATGGTATATAATTTGGCGACCACTTGTTGCTTATAAAATTTGCTTGGTGAAGAGAACTAATAAATAATTTATTTATAAAATAAACTAGTAATTTCTTATCAAAATGTAAATAATAAATAACAACAGAAATTTAAAATGGAATTTAAAAAATAAATTTCCCACCGCATGGGACGGAGACGGCGCTTCAGCGTTATAAACGTAAAACACTGCGGTCACACTGAACCAAACTCAACGCCGGCTGCTTTTGTTTTTAAAAGTTTTTAAAAAGAAGTGATATTAATAAATAATTTTTAGCAGTATAAAGCCTTGCCATGTCACAAGCGACGGTGCCGGAAAACCTAAATGTAAGTAGCTGGCCCTAACTTAATCGAATTCAAGGTAAAACAAGATGTACCCCCCAGACCCGCCTGCTGACGGTGCTCAGTTTGCCGCTTATGGACCGGCTGCACGAGTTGACCATTCTGTTCGATCGCTGCTCCGTGCGACAGATCCAGGAGGTATTCCCGCACATCGTGCACTCCGTCTTCGGGATCAATGGCAATCCCCTGGGCTGGGGACTGCGCACGACGACGCAGGAGAACAGTGCGATGCACTTCCAGGCCCTGAGCCACTTTTTCGGCGTCTGCGGTCCTTGGATGCACCTCTGCCACCGCCTGCTGGCCGACCAGTACAAGTTCGAGGTGGACATTAACCTGCTGCCGGTGAGTGAAGGTAATTGGTTATCCAGTATCATTTCTGAATGTTCCCCTTCCAGGCCAAGTTCGTTGCCATGCTGCAGTCTGGTCAGAATTCCATGTTCTATGCAGATCTGATCAACATTGACCCGTTGCGGCACCAGGTGGCCACGCTTTGGCTGAATGCCTTCGACTTTTACGTAATCCACTTTGTCCTGCACGCCCTGCAGCCGCTGCACTCCATAAATCCCATTGCCATGCAGATCCACAACGTGCGCTGCAAGACCATCTACCTAAAGCTGGTGGCCGAGTACCTCAGCAACTTTCTGCCCCTGGTTCCGGATGCTCGCATCGAGCCCGTGCACTTTAGCAGCGGAGTAAAGGCACCGCAGCCGCTGCCCACCCAGACCTTGCAGCCGCAGAGGCAGCCGCGATATATCAGGATCCCCAGCTCATATCGCAACGGGGGAAACGTATCTGGTGGAGGTGCGAGTCCCAATACCAGTGGTGGCAGCGGTAACACCTCGCCCCAGTCGTCCAGTGCTAATGCCAGCTCTGCTCGAGCCTACGCCTGGCGGTCCGAGTCGGTGCTACATTTCTTTGTGGATATCTGGATGCGATACGATATTGAGTCGGAGCATCATCTGCCCAGCAGCGATTTTGTGCGTGGCGTCCGCCTCCTAGTCAAACAGATCCACTTCTTCGCCAATGGGGCACAGTTAGATCATAGTTCGCTCTGCTCGCTGCGCAAGGTGTCGCTTAGCATGGTTAAAGCTAGGATATTAGCCTTCCTGTGCGGTTTGATTGAACGCTGGCCCCTGGATAGCTCTTTGATGGTGGTGCTGGAACTCTGGCTGAGCTACATTCAACCTTGGAGGTACACCATGTCGGCCCTGGACCACAAAATGTAAGCAAAAGCTGATAAAATCATTTATAAGTCCAGAAATGTAATCGTTTCTTTATATTTTAGGGCGGGTAGCCTCTCGTACAGGCCGCCTATATCCTCCCACTTTGATAGTTTCATTATTGACAACCTGATTATGTACACGCACATCTTCTCCATATTGTTGCCACACTTTGAGCGTTTGGATTTTACGGTCTATCGTAATGCATTCATGCTGTACCGCCTGGCAACCATGTTTGCTCAACATGATCTTGTAGAGCGACTGCAGCGTTACGAGCGCCAGTATGCCGGCAATGCCTACGGTTTTGACTCGCCACAGCGACAAGTCCATATGTTGAAGTAAGCTTAGGAATTCCTTCGCCTTTGAATGTGCCTCAACTTTACTTTCCCTTCAGTAAATCCCACTCACCCGGCGCCCAATGGAATAGCGTGGTCCCTACCTCCAATACGACCAAGCTGTTCAGTCAGCCCATGCAAATGCAAATACAGAAATTCCTGTACGAGATCAGCATGGCCCGCAACTCAGTGCTGCGAGAGATTGCTGGCCTGCGAAATGCGATTGCAGAAAGGCAGCGCTCGGATGGTTTCCTCAAGAACTTTTTCAACAAGCTTTTCCGCGAGGTTAGCCAGGACGAGGTGACATTGCGCGAGTTCAGTCGCATTCCGGAGGTGCTGCGCCAGTGCATCGACGCCTTCTGCCGCACCTTCAATGTACGTTCCTTGCTCTCCAATTCCAGAATTGAATTTTCTACAAGATTTTATTCTTTCAACAGGTGGATCAGGCCAACCTGTCTATGCATGAGACCCTGCCAGTGGAACCTTGCCCGCCCGCCTCTGCCACACTGCAAAACTTTAGTTTCTTTGACACTAGCAATTCGCTGGACACGTCCAAGCTGAACCCACATCAAATGTCTCTCAATGCTTCAAATATGCAGGCCATTGTCGATCCCGCCTTGCTGCCAATCCGAACGAATGAGCTCAGGCCTCTGGTGCGGGTACTGCACCTCATCTCTGACAGCATCAACAAGAGGGTAAGTCTTTCACGGATTTCCCCTGGGCTTCAGCTTAACTCCTGTTTTCTTTTTCAGTACGGAAATCAGATGAAAGCCTTTTACGTGCGCAATGATTACTGTGGAAAGGTGGCGAGGCAGCTTCTGTACGCCCCCATGACGGAGCAGTGGTTCGACAAGAGCACCGGAAACGTGGATATGCGAGAGAAGCTGGTTCCCCCGAGGCTTTGCCTGCGGCCGCTGGGCTCGATACCTGTACTTGCGACCATCTTCTGCGCCGTAATCCTTGGCAAGTTGCTCTGGGGCTCCTCTGTTACTGGAGTGATAGTTCTCTGCTCCATGCTACTGGTTTATGTCTTGTTACTAGCTCTGATTTCTTAATTTGCTCGCCTTATTATAATTTCTTCGCTTTGTGTTTAGTTGTGACATTTATATATTTTGTATAAAACTAAAGAAACTACTATTACAATTAGGATTAGTTTTATATATTAGGATTAAGTTTATGCGTATCACTCGGTTCGCGGCCGGAGGGCCAGTCGCAAGGTCTGATCGGGCACGGTGACCATGCGCAGTACACTGTCGACGGGCTGTTGGTTGAGGCAGCTCATCTCGAACTGGGCGGCACAGCGGCCCAGCAGGGAGTGGAGCTGCTTGAGCGCCACCCGGCGGCCGATACAAGATCGCTGGCCGATGGCAAAGGGCAGGCTGCCGTGCGACTGATGCCTCTGCTCGGATTGGCCTATACACCAGCGTTCTGGCAGCACCCGCTCAGGCTGGGTGAAGTGTGAGGCATCGCGTCCGGCCGTGTACAGGGAGAGCAGCACCAATGTCTGGAAGAAACGCATGGTAAGAGATTACTATATGATCTCTCTTGGTAAACCTAATTCTACCGACATCTTTCTTGATAAAGTGACCGCCCAGTTCCGCATCCTGAGGCAGGGTGCGACCAATGAAGGGAGCCACGGGATACAAACGCAGAGACTCCTTGATTAGGCCATGCATCAGTTGCGAGCCATTGGTGGCGCGCTCCTTGGCCAGGCGTTTCTGGAGCAGCGGCTCCCGGGAGAGGGCGTACAATGCCCACTGGCTGCTGAAAGCGGTCTGAAGGATTCGAACTTGGATTACTTAGTGCTTAATTTAGTTGCCAATTTCTGCATTACCGTGTCTCCTGCTGCAATGACCAGGTCCACGAATATCCGCTTAATCATCTCGCCGGGCACCTCTGCCGCCTGCAGCCGCTGGAAGAGTGCTGGCTCCTCGTGCGGCTGCTGATGGTCCAGCTCCAGCACGCCGATGCAGTGATCAATGATGGCAGCGCCCTCGCGCAATACCTCCTCCACATTGGCCTCAAAGTCGCGCCAGATGCGCAGGCGCAGCATCTGGGCCAGACGAGGCGGGAAGGTCATCAGTCGCGAGCTATGCTCGAAAACCTTGTGTACAATCTGAGTGAAGTAGTCCAGCGATGACTGGATCTTGGGGCAGGTAAGCACACTGTTGCCGAACATAATGCAGCAAAGCACTGCAAAATTTAGAGAAAATATAACAAAAAGCTTAAAAGGATTGGATTATTTGGAAAATATTAGGAATATCATGGAAGCTAAGATGAACCCCTAAAGATATACGATAGATAGGTACCATCACTACCCCAACCTAGTTACTTTCAATTGTCTGTGTTTTTCTATGTAATATATAGGTTTATTCTTTGTACCCCTGATATTGTGGTTTTTCAATGATTTAAAATAACCCTCGACTTCAATATATCCTGTCCAAATAATCTTACAACCTCCAGGATATTCCCAAACTCTCTCACCTTCTATAGACCAACGATAGAGCTGCTGTTCCAGCAGCGGCAGTTCATAGCATCGTTTCTCGCCACCCGCCTCTGCCGGCTCCAGTGCCGTCACCTCTGTGGTGCGTGCTCGCCACTGCTCCACCATCCGTCTGGTACAGCTCTCAATATGCACGTCCATCCAATTCAAATTGCCGTTGAGCAGCAGGCGATTAAGTATGCGTCGGTTGTGCAGCCACTCGGCGCCCTCCCTGCTCTCCACGGCGGGAAGAAGAGAAATGAGATCGGTTCCGCGGACTCATTCATTTGCAATTCATCGCCTCATTTGGCCCACTCCACTTACATGAAGAACAGTCCACGTTGACAGGCGTGCTGTTGGTTATACAGCGTCCAGGCATCCGGCAGCGGATGCTGCGGATACTGACCCTCGTGCAGAAAGACTCCGCGCATCAGATTCGCCGAAGACACGAACACTGCATCCTGAGTGCCGCCCAAGCGCTCCCGGAATATGGGTCCATATTGTCTGTGCCGGGCATCGATATATTTGTGGAGTCTTTGATGGGGAAGAGAAACGGTTGATATGTTAAGTGGAGATCCATTTGACGTCTTTATGCAAATTTTGATGAAATTCTTTAGCTCAAAGTTTTGCAAAATTAAAATAGAACTGTTCTTTGGCACAAGTAAGCCATTTATATGGATTTAAATTCTTGATCATTCTGATTTTATATTTTTTAATGTGTTCTTTAGATATCAGACGAATTAGCAAACTATTTATTTTTTAAATTTAAACTTGTGTTTTAATTTACACTTTTTTCTATTCTTTTTCGCACAAACATTAGAATTTCCTTTTAATATCAAGCACTTATTGAGTTATATTTTATAATATGGTTTCACAATTTATTTTATATTTTACACTTTTAATGTTGAATTATCTTTTTTGCACAAAAATTAGAATTTCCTTTAATATCAAGCACTTTGTTAAGTCATACTTTATAGTTAAGGGTTTAACAATTTATTTTATATTGGTTCGATTATTTAGTTTATTTTTTTATTGGATAGTTTCAATAAACTAAACTTCGCACTCCTTTTTAAATACACAAAACATAAAGTCAGCCAAAGACTGTATTTCTTTTTGCGAACACTATCTTATTCGAGTTATAGAAGCTCACATACTGCGTGGCTCCTCCGGCGGCGATTAGATCCATTAACGTCCCAACCAGCGGCAGACCACGAACTTTCGGAATGGGCAAGTATTTGGCAACCGGTACTAGCTCCTCTCCGGAACAGCTCTTGCCCTCGGGGGCGTTGACGCAAAAAATACTCAGGCTGAGGATGCGCACCAGGAGCTCGTCGAGCAGGTGGCGCAGCCAGCGCAGCGGTCCCGGCCGCTGCCTCTGCTCTCTCATGACTATCCCAGCGGGGGAGGAACCAGCGCGCACCTGCACCTGCTCGGCTCTGCTGCAAGGCTGTTGCACGGCACTGATTTGAAACGCGTCCCGACAAAGGGCCAGGCCGCTAGCAGACTGACTCGATCCGCCGGCCAGAGCGGGCCTTTTAACCCATCGACAGCCGTTGAGCTGGAGATCGTCGATCGGGTAATGGTGATCGGTGATCGGCTACCTGCGCTGCCCGCTCACGACCAGTGCGAGCATATGTGTGATTGATATATGCGCAAATCCGAGCGGCACTTGGACGCCAGACACGCTGAGTGGACACTAAATCCCAGCTGACCATGCAAATTGTTGGAGGAGGGGTCAGGAGGAGAAGAAAACCGGGACAGGAGGAGAGAGAAGTCGCGAGAGAAAAGTGAGTTAATTCCCAGGGGTTATTCGCATTATTTCGAGTTATATCTGGAAAATATAGTTCGAAATTGTCATAATACATTGCTTCCTTAACTTATAGAGGGGTTTGAGTTGAGCAATAATTATAATTATTAATTATTATTAATTATTATTAATAATTATTAAGCAAAAAATGTTTATTACAGATTATGTTTAGTGACCATTTACTAAAGCCCTTTACTGTTTTTATTATTTTATTAAAATTTTGTTAAAGATCTTATTAACATTTATTTACTTAAAGTTTCTCTTAGCAATGTGTGCATTTTGGTAAAGTTTTATACAAAATTGTCTTTTTAATTAGTTCTTAATATTCCCTTTAGATATTATCGTATATCTTATTTCTCATTTTGATTTTGGGTATATCTATTTTAATTGTAATACTAGTTATTTTATAAAGTAATACAGTAAAATTATATAGTAAAAATTTTCATTCAAAATAATAATAGAAAACAAATGCTTTGGCAGCTGTTAGACTAAACATTTATGACTTACCGATACTTTGTAGTACAGTGTCATTTTGTCCGTTAAATATGAAATTTTCGAAGTCGACGTTTGCCGGGGGTTGTTCGAATTTTCGAAGGCAAACATTACGAACCAAGGCTGTGAGTTAGAAGAGCACGACCGGTGGTGAGTGTGGTTGGCTTTGTTGAATTCAAATTTATTCTTGCGCGCCTTGTTTTATTATTTAAATTAAATTTCGATTTTATTTGTTATCTCGTTTTATTATAAAATTATTTTATATTCAGTGAAAGTATGTATATATTTTTACCCTGCGACCGATTTGTTTGCACAATAACCAAAATTAAAATTGATTTCTGTTCGTTAAAATAATAGTTAAAATGGTTTTTAAACATTTAAAAACCACCCAGAAAGCTGTCTTAAGCAAGCCAATAATGTCTAGATCAACTAAGTTTTTGATTTTTTAAAAGAATATATATAATTTAAAGGGTCGGAATTACTCCTTGACAACATTGCAAGCATCTGACTAAAATGTAAATACCCTGCAAGGGTATAAATAAATTCTTAACCCAAAATAAGTACAGATTTATAAATAAGTATAATAGGGATATTTACAAAATAAATATTTACATGAAACATACTTATTTTCTAACAATAAAAACTACTTTAGTTTCAACCCAAAGCATGTGTTTATACTGTCAACAGTTTACTTTATTTTGTGTTATTTCTATTATAATTCAGATAAAGTCATCATGAACTTTGTGTATATTTACAACATAAATCCCACTCAGTTTATTCCGCAACTGGCATGAATGTGTTTTGTTTTTTAAGCCTCAACAACCATATTATTCGAGTTACCTGGCTGACACCACAAACCTAGCATTTGCCACCTTTTTAGTTTTGTTTTTTTCCATATAGACACAGATTTTGAACAGTTCGATGTGCAGAAAGAGAGGGGGTATTGTGGGGCATTAATATCACCATATTTCGCATGTTTCAGTTTAGTTGACACCAAAAATAAATCAAATTCGAACACACAAAAGCTAGATAAACCCAGAAAATCAGAAAGTTGACAGTAAAAGCATAAAACAAACAGAAAGAAGTCGAGGGGCGTCAGTTCGTGGGGAAAATGTAATAAATAAATTTATTTATTAATAGTTAGGATTTTAATAGTGCAGAATTTAATAGCATGCAGTCGTGACCTGAGACTCAACTCGAGACTGCTTGACGAAGGTTGCGAGGGGATTCCCAGGACTTGTCAAGGAAATCGCTGCCATATTTATGGTTTACTAAAGGGGCTCCCCCTGTTGTTGTTATTGTTGGGGGGGGGTCGCAAAAGGGTTGAAATAAATAAATATTGTTTTCCGTCTTTGCGGCAGCACACGCGACATGCATAATAATAAAAATAATAATACTGGGGGAAAAATGAGAAGGGTTGCTCGTTCGTTCGCTGGAACCGCAATTCATATGAAGATAATATAAAATAACATGGAAAACAACAAATAACAAAATGAACAAGGATCCCCGCCAGGCGCCCCTCTTCAGTTAATGCAATAATAAGAGTGGAGCTCGGAAAGGGCATAAATAAAAATGTATATAAAAAGCTGGAGCCGGGGGCGGAAAACAAAGCTCAAAGCAGCATGACGCCATTTTGAAAGTGACGCCTTCCGCTTTTATTGCCAACTGCGGGGGGGGGCCTAAGGGCGGCAGGAGGAAGGAGGTTTCCGCGGGAGACCGGAAGTTGAAAAGGAGCTGTGCGAAGAATGGGGTCGTCGTAGGCAGCCAGGCAGCGTGTCATCAGGCGGAGTTCACTTTGAGTAAATGGAAGACTGTCTTCTCCCACTTGGCGGGAAATGGAAAAGCTGAGATGAATGAGCCGCCATTTCCCTGCCCATTAATATTGTGTCTGAAGTGTTGGGTCGAGTTTAACGAGTGTCAGACGTCGAGTTTCAGATTTGATTTGATGTTTACATTTATTAAATGGTCTGCAACTAAATTGAATTCAGATTTATTTATTTATCTTTGTAAATAAATAACTGCTTGCTTAAAAACTAAATTAAACAGGAAACTATATAATGAAGCCTGCTCTCATGATCATATTTCGTAGACCTGTTTAAATGAAATCCAGATAGAGGTTCATTCCCATCACAAAATGCAAATAAACTCTCAAGTCTGGAGGCTTCTTCAGGCCACAAGGCAAGTGGCCCAAAATAACCAGCTGAAGCCAGGACTTCAGCCGACACTGCTGGAGTATCCTGAGCGGGACGCAAGCGGAAGTCCTTACAGCTTTTGCATATCCTTAAGTGCCACTAAGTGGTGCTATCATTCTTTCATATGTATGTGTGTGTTTGTGTGTGGGGAATGTGATGCTTATCGCACTCCACCACAGCATTTGTACACGGACGGAGATAGGGATTGAAATACACTTGGATTCGGGCATACATATACTCTGTGCATCCTGCATATATCCTGGCTGTGTGTCTGTGCTTTTCAAGTGCACGTGTAGTTGTTGATACCCCTTCCCTTTTCTCTTCCCCTTCCGCTTCCGCATCTCTAAAACTCGATTCTCTGCGGTTTTTGTATCGCTGACCATGACAGAATTTCTCTCTCCACCACTTCTACTATACATATATATTTTTTTGCAGCATACCAAGGGTCCTCTGCGCCAGGGAGGGAGTCACCGCTTACCCCACGGCTGCTACCAAAAAGTGTCCAAAACATAAATGACATTTATATTGGTTATAGTATTAGAAGGAATGCTGGCTGGCTCTGGCCCAGACCCCCACGTACGTGCCAACATTTTGGGTCATAAAAATGTATACAAAAGCAAGAGCAAACAAAGCTCAAGCAGGAACAAACAATTTATACCACTGGCATAAAGGAATAGAGGTCAAGCCATGAAATATGAGAAATCGCACGCATCTATGTACATAAAGTGCGTTTCATAATCGGTTGACAGTCGAGTAGTGCAAGATGAGCCCAATATGTTGTTGATATCCCAAAGCATATCTATATTTATCTGGCTTTTACGTTTGATGGCAGATTACTTGTTAGTTTGACTTAGACGCTTAAAGGTTTCGAACTAGGAGCTTAGGTTTAAGACGCAATACTCTTTTGTTTTACACTTTCTAAATTAGCAATACTGTTACTTATGAAACGTCCTGTATCTCTAAAACAAACGTGATAGTTATATCATATATTTCAGTGTCTACATTTAGAATCCTGTTAAGCTATTGGAAACTTTTACCAAAAATGAATACAACAGCGCAAGCAACCAGGATGGCAATTTTCTGGTCACGTGGCTGGGCATCGTGAGCTACAACGGACCTTCAAGAGTCAGAGCCAGGCATTGCGTATACGCCGTGTGCGTCAAAACGCAAATGTCAAAATTGGCCTGGCTAAAAGGGTCGCGTTGGCCGAAAAGCGACTGGAACGAGCATTTATCCAGGAGCCTGGCTATGGGTATAAGGAGGCGTGGCAATGGGCGTGAATGGAAGTGGGTGTGAGTGTCGGGACCAACTCTGCGAGTGGCTTAGGCTATATGCGTGCCTTTGGCATATTTGTGTTCCTACACACACCCTCGGTTCAGACTTGCCCCTGGATGTAGAGGTGGAGTGAGCGATAGCGAAGAGCAAGTTCAATGGCTTCGCTCATAAATCCATCGCCGCAGCCAATGCAAATAAACAAGGCTTCGAGGGAACGCAAAATGAGAAAAGCGAGCTTCAGTCTCAGTCTGGCCTCAGCAGGCAATATTCGCAGTTGAGCGCATAGATAGCCAAACAGCGAAACAACAAACAACAAGGACAGGACGACGCACAGGATGCATGCCACATGCTGATTAAAATCCAAACTTCGCGAATAAGGGAGCCAGGTGTTCCAAGCTCTGAAATTCACTATGTTTTCAGTTTTGCCATGGCTTCAGGAAAGCTAATATGTGTTTATATATTGTTTTTGTAAATTCTATACAAATTATAAATTGTTTAAGTCTTACCAGATGACTATTACCTTTTGCTATATATATTTTCTTTGAAATAAATACGATTCCTAAGAGTTTATTATATAAAATGTTGGTAAAGTTGGCTTATATTGAGGACATCAAAATAATTTTACTCTTTTAAGTTTGTATGCTTCTTCTGTTTAAATATACTTTCCTTTTCAAAGAGTATATTTAGAGGAGATTCGCTAAAATTCTGCAACTCCTAACGACCTGTAGGTGACAAACTTTCCCAGTGTTTTTTGCTTCTCACTTCGGTAGCATCCTCAACCCCTTACCCGCCTTTATTCACTGCTTGCTCCTCCAGTTTGTTGATTTTTTTTTTCACCAGAAGCTGGCAAAAGGGTTTTATTCCGGTGAATATTCTTGTATTCCTTGGCTCAGTCATGCACGACGAGGGACCCAAAACATAAATACAAAATCATTTTTGTTTTTTTCCTTGTTGTTTTTCGGTTGGTATCGACTGTTTTAGGCCTCCGAGCGTCTCTCGTTGTTGTTGTTTGTTATCCTGTGGGCCTAAATCATATTAATGAATTTTCTTTTAGTCATGTTTCAGACCTCGGTCAAGTCTGGCCCCTCGGTTGGGAAGGGAAAGGGCTGAAAGTGGAAGTTTTTGGGTGACATTAATTACGCAAAATTAAATTTGATATCCTCGCATTAGCCGGGAATCAAGAAACGTACAAAACTGAAACGCTTCACCGGGTTTTACTTACTTTTGGGGGAGTTTCAGGGCTTCCTTTTTTTTTTTTTTTTGGGTGGAAAGGGTGAATGGGTTTGTTGGGAACTTTGTGGGGTCGCCACTTGAGCGGCTTAGCTTAATTTATTATTAAAAAAAAAATAAAAGAAGGGGAGAACAAGGAATAATAATTGCCTGCAATGCGAAATCCGCTTTTGGTCATTAGCGGAGGAGAGGGTGAGCTTTTGTCCTGGGGGATGAATGCGTGTGTGTGCTGGGGGATGCATATAACCCTCCCCAGATTCCCGCTGAATTTATTTGACCCGCGCATTGCGGACCTCATTAGCAATAGTTTTGTTTGGCTTTGTCTGGTTTTCGGGTTCAGTAGTAGTTGCGCCCGAAATGTTTATTTTAAGGGGGATTCCCATCCGTTCGAAAAATCAAGGCATAAATCATGGCGTCGGCCTGCACTGACAGCTGCGGCGCCATCGATGATGATGATGGCGTTTCCGGGGGATTGGAGCTGGGTCCTTATCAGCTAGCCAGCACTATACCAATTCCATACTTGGCTTTCAGCTGTGGGCCAACTAATTAGCCCACAAATGTGCGACATCGGGGGGACATTGAGAAGGGAGTCACTACTGGGCGGTGTCCATAAATAATGACAGCTAATTTAAATGTTTCGGTGAAGGGAGCAGTATTCGCGGATCCTGGGATTTACAGTCAAGGATTGACCCAATACTTAGTCAAAATTTGGGTTTTTTTTAGGCATTTTAAGGAAGGGGACTTTACATGGAGCGTGTATACATATTTGCAATGAAAAGCGTATGGAAGGAATAAATTTCCAGGTAACCCTTTTTTTTTTAATTCACAAAAATCGAAGAATATTGAGATTTCTTAAAATTCATATAGAAACTGGACTTAGTTGTCTTTCTTGGTTTATTTCTATTTTTCAGTTAAGCTTATGTTACCCTTTTTAATTCGCCTATCCTGGTCTCTTTCTAGGTTAATCTCATCTACACCTATTTAATTCGCTTCCTAATAGTTCTCTATCTCCTTTTAATAATTACTTTTCTACTACTTAACCCTTCTTCCTTAATTCATTCTCTATTACTTCATTTTAAACTCAACCTTCTGTATCATATTTTTCTTCCACCATCTCCATTATTATATTTTCTTTCTTCCTGGGTAATTTTTTCCCCGCCTCTAGTTGCCATGCCTACTATTTCAATTTAATGTGTAAGTCCTCTACCTTCTGGTCCGTGCTATCAGGTGTCCTTGGTAATACTAACCCATTTGTTTGGCCCCAAACGAGGGGAATGATAAAAAATATGGTACCGGATGTTTTGTTTCCCCTCACTCACTCACTGAATTCCTAACAGGAGCTGCTCCTTTTTGCCTTTGACTGGCGGGGATGAGCAGAGGAAGAGAGAGAGAGAGACGAGAAACGGTGCTGGATTGAAGCTGGTTAAACGAGGAGGCCAATCAAGCTGCATGAGTGCATCCTGCTGGAGCCCAGCTGCAGCCAACTCGCATCCAACTCGTACATACACACATACGCACAGTGAGAGAGATGGAGACACGTGTGTGGCATCATCATTAACGGTACTGAAAGGATCCCGGTTTGCGGGTAAGGGGTCCCCGAGACTTTCTCCTTTCACCTGACTTCCCCCTTTTCCACAGACCTCTTGTCTTTGCTGATTGCCTGCTGCTAAAGACACCAAACTATCTGCGAAAGGAGTCTTAACATAGATAAGTTCGAATTAAGGCAGTTGATATACGATCAAAGAACGATTTCGAGTGCAGCCTCTTATTATGTAAAACTACAGTTGAACTACTTTGTCTCGAACCTACCAAGTTTGAATTGATGTAGTCAGAGAAGTTCGAATTTTATGTTAAATAAGTTTCTTATTTTCTAGACATTGCTCAGTTAAGTAACTTTATTTATTTATTTATACTTGCAAATAATTTTATTTTTTTAAAGATTTAGTAGCTGAATTTCAGAGATCTTGAAAGGCTTGATGTTTTTCCCAGCTTTAATTATTAGTAAAAACTTCTAAGCTAATATAAACCCATATCAGAAGGCTATAATATTTTCTTAATATTATTTACGGCCTAGTCAAGGGTATATTTATATATTTAAAAAACTATCAAATTGCTTAATTTCTGTTCTAAGCTCAGCTTATAGCCGGACTGTGTGAGTTTAGGACCTTTCAGTTTAGGCAAGGTTTATCGAGGGGGAATCTGCCAGAGAAATATGCGAATCGAGATTCCGAGTGGAGTTTGATTTCGATCCAAAGCGGAATACCGAGTGCGGTAATTGCATATTCCGGGTTAAATCAGCTTATCCCAGCCGAATATGCTAATTTGTTCGTCCGTGTGAGGGAGTGTGTGTTTGTATGCGTTGCATTTGCTCGTGTGTGTGTGTGTGAGCGTTAAGCCGAGCATGAATAATTCAAATCAAAATTAATTTGTTATTAGTTTTGCAACAAAAACACACACACAAGCAGCAGCAGCAGCACGAGCAACAGGCCGAGCAGGCGAAGGAAAAGCGTTGGAAAAACTTTGAAAACCAATAAGTGTGGCCAGGCATAAAGCCAGTCTCATTAGCAACTATGTATAAAGACCAAGAGCAATAGAGATGGAGGGCATAAGAAAGAGAGAGACAGGTCTAGCTGCTGCAATAGCGTCTTAAAAAATTTGCATAAAACACTAAAAATATCAACGACAGTAAAAAAAAGCAACAACACGAGAAAATGCGCACAAGAAAAACTAGAAAAAAATATGGAATTCAAATAAACCTTAAAATTGACTTAGTGACGAAGGCAGCGACAGCTAAAGCAACAAAAACAACATCATCGGTGACACCAGCAAAAAAGCAAAGCAAAGAAAATGGAAAAATAAAATCAGCTTCGTGACAAGACATCAACAAACAATCAAGCAGCGAAGAAAAATGAAAATGAAATGTAAATGGAACGAAAGTTCGCCTTGGTGGCCCAAGGGAAAGGGAAAAGGGAAAGCTTTCGATACTTAAAGAAGTTGTGTTTTTCCGTTTACTCAAATAGGTTCGATCGCCGTCGTTCTTAAGCCCTCGTTTTTATTTCTACCATGAATTATGGGTGTTTGTTTGTCCTTAGTGGAGTTTGGGTAGTGTGTGTTGCGGTTCTACTCCACGAATGCAGCGCATCGAACTCAAACAGGTTGGTTAGCCCCCTTAGCCCCTTAGCCCCTTCAAGCCACAGCGAGGGGCGTAGAAAAAGTTGTCACAATATACTAAATGCATTAAATTTAAAATAAAATAATTGTAAGTTAAGTTTTAGTAGTATATTATTGTCAGAAACAAACTAAAGAATAAGGTAAATTATATAATTGCATTTTTTTTATCATCTATCTTATGTAAATCTTATGAATTTTATTATGAAGTGTGCAAATAAAACCTAAAAGCATATAAAAAAAAATTGATTTTGTATTTAAATTTAATATTTACTACTACTACTAATAATAATAATATCTTTGGATTTTTCAATCCATAAGATGGGGTGTCCAAAAGTATGCAACAGAATTTTTAGGGGCTTTTATTTCACACTAAATGGTTATTATTTTTATTTGAAATTCCTCAAGAATATTATTTACAGAGAAAATAATACATATCTCATTTTGCAAATTTTTTCCTTGTTTTGATTTGATTAAAATAGTTCTCAAATTTGCAATAACCTTCAAAAATTTCTTATAAATTATTTCTCTTTCTAGGAAAGAGAACTCCCGCTCGCCATTCTACCACCCACTCGGCCTTCGAATATCGAACATGTTCGAGTTGCAAGCTCCAAGCAAACTCGTTTGGAGCCGGCTGTCATTGTGGGGGCCACACTTGCCGCCTCTGCTGGGTTTTTGGTCAGACAAAGTGTTCGTTTGCCCCATAGTGTGTGCTGGCATTGGCGCTCGGCTTCAGATTCAGATTCAGTTTCAGATTCAGATTCAGTTTGTTTATAAACCGTGTGCCGTGCGGATGTGCGTCGCTGCGTCTTGTGAAATCGCTGGAAAATCTCGCTAAGAAGCTCGAACTTTCAGTTTACCGCTCGACGGTCCGTTCTAACTCCGCGAAGCCCGCCGCCCACCGCCCCACAAGCAGTCTGTCCTCGTCTTGGGAAATAAAAGAAGCGAGGAAAAGCCGAAGGAAAAGCGCGCGCGGCAAGTGAAGCGCACAGGTTAACCTGTGTGTCAGTGTGCCTGTGTGGGGATATGCCCGTGTGTATGGGTGATATACAGTGTTTATTTGTGTGATTTCTTTTGTTTGCTGGCCAATTGTGGGGCCTAATTGAATGCTTGTCTCATATGGGTTAAAAGAACCCAACAACAACAGCAACAAAAACAACAGGAGCAGCAGCAGCCAACAGCCGACTCGAGTGTTTCGCAACGCCATAAAAAAATATATACATATATATATTGGAAAAAAAGAAGAGAAATACAAAAAGCAACACAAATACATATAAAAACGCGCACATATCGACGAGCAGCAGAGAAGAGAAGCTAAGCCAGAAATCATACATATATATATATAGATATAGATATAGCATATAAAAACCAGTTTGGAGCCGCAGTAGCAGCGCAGTCGCAGCGTTTTAGCCGAGGTGAGTTCTGCACTGGTATGCGTGTGTCCGTGTGTGGGTGTGGGTCTTGTGTGTGAGTGTGTCCGCCGCCCACATGTCGCGGCTTTCTCTGCCGGCTTCAACGTCGCAGTTGACGTCGGCGTCACAAACTGGCTTTTGTCGCTTGTAAAAAAGTTCGAACAACAAAAAAATGTTTTGATGTTTTGATCGGAGAATCCACACCACCACAGCCCCGCGCCTCCTCCTATGGCACCGAAAAAAAATAAAAGCCCCAACAACTTGTTGAGGCATTCTTCAATTCGCCAATCACACTGCGAAAATAACTATTAAATCTGATGATAACTTCTTAACTTTTATGTTGAAATGATAAAGTAATTTTATAACTGTGACTGTGTGTGATTTGATATAACATAGAAGTATTTTAGAAAGTGTTTCAAAAGAGAGATCTCAAAATAATGGTTTTATTGTAAGAAAAGAAAGAGTTAGAAAGAGTTAGAACCACAATTAAAATATATGACAGAGAAGGTAAAAATATATACACAAATAAAGTCATTTCTTCTTTAAAACTTTTACTTCCCAATACATATAAAGACTATGTATCGTTATTAGAATGAAAAAACCTATTCATAATAAATCGTAAATAAAAAAATAATATTTTAATCTCTAAAAAATCTAAAAAAATCTTTATACATAATACATCTTTCTAAAATGAACCTTAAAGTACTCATCCACAATTTCCTTTTTTCTTCAAAAATGATAAATCCAAAACCCAAATCTTATTTCAAAATACACACTGAAGCAGTCTTGAGCACTAAAATAAAGACACATTTGTCACAGTCTTAAGTCTGATTTGAATTGTAAATATTTAATGGATGAAATGGGAATCTAGAAATTTGATTGTGTAATTTTTTTTTAGTTTGCTATGCTTCATTGGGCACAACACCGATTTGATTTTAGAACCCAGAAAATTTAAATCATTGCCAAGACAGAGCTAGTGAAAAAGCCAACAACAAAATACCAGAAAACTAAACTAATTTGCACAGTTTTGCGTTTGGCAAACTTTGTCTCTCTATGTTGGCAAAAAATAGAGACAAAAAAAAGAAGAAAAAACTCATTTAGACAAGAAGACGAAGCAGCAGAACAGCAACTGATAGCAAAGGCGAAACAACAACAATGGGGGAGCAGCCAGAAACACAAAAAGCTCCGAAAAAGTTTTTAATTGTCAACTTTAAGCCGAAGCCAACTTTGGAGGAATACTACTACTATATAGAAGAGTTGGTTTTTTTTTTTCGTTGCTCTGCACTGACTTTGCCTTGCCTTTTTTATGGGCGGCACTCACTAATTGAAATTTAGTTTACTTGCTTTTACCCCTTTTTCCTTTGCCAGGACTCCTCTTTTTTGTGGTAAAATGATTTGCCCAATGTTTAACATTGAAACATTTTCGGCTTTGGTTGTTTATTTATTCACCTAATCAATACGCTCAAGGGAGAGGGAAATGCGATTGAGCATGCTAATTAGAATTTTCCTAGGTTCCCATGGGCTTTTTCCCAGAGGTGCTGACTTTATTTAAAGTTTTTTTCTCTTACTAGTTGCCTGTTTGCCTTTGGCGTTATCTTGTTAGGTATTTTAGTATCTTGTTAGCTACAAAATATCTACAAAGTATAACTAGGTTTAAGACAAATATTTCAGCACTAAAAAATAATCATCTAAGGTGTGTACTTTTATCAATTATAAAAAGTGCTTAGCTGATATCTCAAATCTAAGAAGTAATTTAAAGGCTGCAAACATTTAGATTTATTGCCAAATTTAAAAGATTTACGGCTTTATCTTTTTCTGTAAAGATCTTTCTGGCTTTTACCAACATAGTTTTATATTAATTAGAGATTTTAACTAAGAGGAAATGCTAAGATCTCAAGTTTGAACAATTTATGTACTCAGAAAAGATACAAAAAATTTAGTAAATATATTTTTTATTTTATCTCAAAGGATATTATAAGCCTCGACTTCTCCTAACCAGCTTCTTGACTTGTACGCACTCACATAATTATCTTTCAATTCCTGTGTCCTGATCTACCCCAATGTGGCCCCTTTCGTTCAAGCCTTTTTAATTTGTTTGGCCTGCTTTTGCAGCATCTTTATGTACTCGTATTTCACAGTTTGCCTCAATTACTGGCTCCCAGTCCAGCGCTTCGTTTAAAGGGAACTTTTGTTTTCGTGCCATTTTTCATATACTTTCGCTAGCTACGCACAAATTAAAAGTTTTCAGGGCTTGCAGGCTGGGTGTCTATGTGTGTGTGCCAGGACTTTAGTGCATCTGGAACTGGGGACTAAAACTGCCAACTATCCCTGCAAGCCAGACTTAATACGCAACAATATTTTTTCTATCGCACAGCAGCAGGCTAAAACTTTGTCCTGGTGCCCGAAAATTCCCCTTGCCACTCCTGCTCCTGTTCCTCCTCTGGTCTCTCCCCTCACTCTCTCTCTCCCTCTGCTCCATATATCGTCAACACTTTCACCGGGCAAATATTTGGAATACAAATGCTGCTGCCGGAGCTGCCACAGACAGACTTTGGCATAATTTGTATGCAAAAATCTCAAATAATATACATGGCACGACACCCACTCGTGGCCATCTATGTATCTGCACATCTGAGGGATGCCGTCCCTGCTGGTGACAGTTTATAATTTCAATCAGTGTCAAACTTGTGACAACTTGATATGTTTTATTGCCCTGACCAGGCACCCACCCATCCCTTCCGTCTTAAACGAATTGAATGGAAATTCGTTTCACTCTTGATCCCAGCCCGTTACAGCCCATTTTAAGTCGCAAAGTCAGTTTAAGGAAAACAAGGAAATATTTTCTTTAATTATTTCGCATGCTGGACACATGTCGAGCAATGAAAATATTCACACAAAAATGGCAATGAATTCATTTATGTATATATATTGGGGGATAACTTTTGACTCTGCAAAGAGTTTAGGTTATTCCTTTTGTGGCTTAAATAGAAATGCAAAATTTCCTACTTTTTTGTTTCGAGATATTTGTTTAGTTTGTGGCCTGGCCACTGGATGTAATTGCAGTCCTGCCCGCTTGGAGCTAGCCAATTGTGGACAAAACTCTGGTCAGGTGGGCACCCTGATTGCCTTCGTAACCAGAAATAGTCGAGCACTTTAATTAAATTGCCAAATATTCTGTCCAAAGAAATGAAAAGAAAATGTGCAGCATGCCAACAAAAATGTCTAGAGCAAAGAACAAACGAAGTTTTACCAGAAATTTAACCAAGTTCAACTGGAATGGAGATACAAAAGTCTTTTATTTAGATGTTTGAGGCTGTAGATACAAAACAAGGAGATTTCTTTCAACCATTATGGACTTAACACTTTATATATTTATATTTTTTATTTTGTAATAACTTAGAGACCAATTAACTTATGTATCTATGTTATGTTATGTTATAGAAGCAATTAAAAGCATTCTTGTTTCAACTGCTTAACTTTCAAGTTCTCATTTTCTCTTTGCTATCAGACAGCTGTCTTTTCCCGACACTTTCCTGTCAAAGGATAAGCGCCTTTGCAACTTGATCACAGACTGCAATTTGCAATCTACAATCTGCAACTGCAGCAACCCAAAAGTTTAGATGTGGGGGCAGTTCCGCTGTCGCTATTGTTATGTTCCTTTGAAGACAATTTGAACTAAATTGCAAGTGCTGCAAAAGTTGGGGCAAAAGGAGTAGATACCAGATACAGATACAGCGCCAAACACAAGTTGATTTCATGCGGCAAATATTTGCTCAAAAAAATATATATACACAATATCCAAAAGTGAGTCAGAGGAGGATGGGAGCTCGCCGGAGCCGAATAAATATTGCATAAAGCGTTGAGTTGGCAATTTAATTCAATCCGTGGGGAGTGAGAGGGCGAGTAAACCTTTAAGAATCTCGGGGCTCGGCCAATATTTGCATAAAATCACAATTAAAGCGATTGCCGGCTGCCTTTAATTGTTTTGTATCTCGCAGATACAATGTGTAAGCCACGCCGCATACATTATCACTATCGCGCCCCTCTCGCCTGGCGGCCTGCCCTGCTCCCCCTTCTTCTGTCGACGGAGTATGCAAAGTAAAAAAAATATTTATATATATAAATGCACACCAAAACGTGGAGGCGTCGATGCGAATTTATGACTCACTGGTTGATTTTTTCCCTCAATTTTCCTGGCTGCGGTGGTCATGGCTGTTGCTGATATGTATCTGTATCTTGCAACTGCAGCCCGGTAATTGTCGCTTACGTGTTAAAGAGGTGAGCTAACAGAGTTCCAGTGGCTGTGCTGGAGTTAGCCGGTACATCGTTTTTCGCATCTTTTTCACTTTTTCGCTTTGGCACGCCGAAATGTCTCTCTTTCTGCGTTTTTGTCTGAACCACATTTGCCTTTGAGGCATGCCACAAGTCTGTTCCCCCTTTCCTCTTGCGCCTCTTCACCTGTTCTCAGGTGTGTTTGTGTGTGTGGAACGTGCCACAAGCTGGCTGCTTCTGGAACTTTTCGTTTCTTTTCTCATTTCTGCCCGAGTTCTGCTTTCTCCGACATCTATTTATACCTGAAATTGTACAGGGTAGCATGGGGGATTCGACTAGGAAGTACTTGGCAAATGTTTAACTTGGAAATTTAATGTAGAAATTATAATATAAATTGTTAAAATATAATAATAGTTAGCACGTTACAAAGGTTACTTAAAAGAAAGCATAAATGTAGTAAGAGAAAATATACTCCCTTCCGCTATTTATGAACAGTAATTTGAAATATTTAGTTACTATATTTAATATAAAATTATATAATAAAATATCCCTTAATTATGACCTTCATTTATAGGGTAACTTTTATTTTGCAACTCCCGTTGTCCGCCATTATTTCTGTTTCTTTATTTTTTTCTGTTGGTTGCCTGTCTGCGGCTTATTGTGTGAATTACTGCCGGGCCACATTCTCCTTCCGCCGGGATCCGCAGGAGCAGTAGGGTTTCTCTGAGATG